ATATTAGCTTTGTAGGCTTGTTTTTTAAAAGAAACCCCAAATATACTAGTTAGGAACCTGTATAATCCCAGTGCATATACAAGGAAGGCTGTAAAGATTAACCAAGCCAGACACATTGTGATTAGTTTAGCTTCTTTTCAACAAACATGACTAAGAGTAAGTAATGGAAAAGATCGTATCTCATGAGACAACTGATGATATACTTATATGGTAGCATCTACTTGTTTTATTAAGTAAAATACAACATATACAACTACAGATAACAAAGAACAAAAAACAAAAAATAGACAAACTTTTTTGAATGCAAGAGTATGCAAACTTTGAATCCGGGGAGTGGGGTGAGCTCCCCCTGTTAGCCCCAGCTTCTGCCAACCCAGCAGTTCAAAAAACATGCAGGTGTGAATAGATCAGTAGGTACCACTTCAGAGGGAAGTAATAGTGCTCCATGCAGTCATGACCTAGGAGGTTTCTATGGACAATACCGGCTCTTTGACTTAGAAATGGAGATGACCACCACACACCCCCCCAGAGTTGGACATGATTAGACTTAATGTCAAGGAGAAACCTTTACCTCTCCTTTTATACAAACCTATTGAGCAGTCCTTTAGAAAAGAGAACAGATTATTCTTGGATCTAACAAGTTCTATTTTCATAGACTCCAAAGTGTCATTGGCAGATTTTAAGATCAAGAAATTATTTATAAGGATTATTACTTCCCCCATATTCAAAAATGTTTTGTATAGATAAAATTATTTCCTATGGAGTTCTTAACAAGAGCTTCACTGCTTTTTAGGAAACATCAGACTTTGCTATTTTTATCAGAGCAGCCTGTGCCTGGGTAAACACCACCTTGGAAAAAGTGCATGAAAACGCCTTCCCCTCTCTTGCGTTACATCTACATCAGTAGTTCCCAACCAATTTTTGACCAGGGACCACTTTGACAAGGGACCACTCTCCAACATTAGTACTAAATCAGTTTTTATCGAATCAGTTACGAATCAGTTTTTATCAGCTTTAGATTCGGTTTGGTTATTTGAGGTGCTGATTCAGAAGACTGCATTGGACAGACCACATCAGCTCTAGTTTCTGATACAGAACATATGCCATCCAGTAGTCACCATTTGCTCACCCACAGAAAACCATATCTAATAATCTAGAGCTGATGTAGTAGTAGTAGTAATCTTTCATGGGTAGACAGCCTCTCCTGTCCCAACATCTCCATTGTCTCGGCACTATAAGAGGGTTTTTGCAAGACCAGTTGCTCTCGTTGCTGCATGGTTTCAGGGGAATGATGTAGTAATGGTGAGGCTGCGGGCTATATTTTCGTTCTTGTGGACCACTGGTGGTTGGGAACCACTGATCCGCACTATAGATATTAGACAATTTGACACAACTTTAACTGCCATGGCTCAATACTGTCTATTAAATCCTGGAAGTTATAGTTTAGTGAGGAACCACCACTCCTTGGCAGAGAAGGAGAAAGACCTTGTAAAATTACAACTCCCATGATTCTGTAGTATGGAGCCAAGCGGTGCCACCCGTAGAAAGCTGACACTCAACCATAACTGTGAATGGTGTGTGCATTGGACTACAATACTCCGAAATCTGCAATGGGAGTCAGTTCTCCAAACACAATTTTCCCAAGCACTGGAAGAGGGAAAATCACACTGCCAATCATCTCCTTCCTGACAATTCCTCTTTTATGATCCTGCTATTGGGTATCTGTTGCAAATTGTTTTTTTGCTGTGACATTAGTCTTCAAAAGTTAACTCCAAAAAGGGATAACTCTGTTGGACATAACATGAAAAAATGACAAAAATCACATCCCACAAATTAGTGGTATATTTACTGGGTTAATTTTTTTAAAAAAATCTCAAAATACATCATGCAAGCTTTCAAAGCTTAACCGTTTTCTTCATCAGGCAAAGATATTAAAAACCATAAAGGCCTGTTTTGTCTCAGATGTTGTTCCTTTTGTCACTTAAAATGACCTAGAGAACAATGATTCCTTAACTCTAGTACTTCAGGTGTTTTGGATTTCAAATCATCTGATTTGGATCAGGGATTCTGGAGCTGATCAGAAGAGGGTGGAGGGACCTCAATAAAAGGCCATTCCCCTACT